TTTTGATGCTACCAAAGGTTATCCGGGGGAAGGACCTGATGAAAAGCACCTGTGGTCCATTTACTCTGCTAACATTGGTTCCCTCAAGACCGCTGTATGTTGGAAGACTTGGGAGTCTGCCATCACCTGCATGCAAGAAACTAGAATTGGGAAAAACTGTATTAACAGTGCTCGTCATTCTGTGGCACAATGCGGAAAAACCCTTTTTCCTGGGGCTTTGCTTCCTGGCCTTTTGGCATCCAATGGTGTCCGCCGAACCCCCCACGGAGGTGTTGCAATTGCAGCACCTGCTGAATTGTGCACACCTTTCGCTAGTAGTGATGATGCCTCAGGGAAATACCAAAGTTTATTCCACACCAAACGTGTCCAGGCTGTTTGGATTCAAGTTACTCCAACCTTGAAGGCACTGGTCTTCAATGTTTATTGCAAAACTGGCGCCAGCCAAGATCGTGACATTCTCGATAACAACAACGGGCTCCTCTCTGACGTTTTTTGCATTGCTAGCCAGTTTGGCGACATTCCAGTGTTCATTGCTGGTGACCTCCAAACGGAGCCCCTCCAATATCAGGCTGTCATGCATGCGTGCAATTTCCTGCAATGGTGTGACCCTATTGCACACCTCGACCCACAATCCGGCAACAGACCACTGACGTTCTCTGCCAATGGGACCTTTTCCGGCTTCGGGGATGGTTGTAGCAGTATCGATGCTATTCTTGTTAACAAGGTTGCTGCTTCTTCTATTGTTCATGCTGAGGTTCTTTCCCACTTCAAGACTCAACACCGACCCATCAAACTCACCTTGTCTTGGGAAAAGGTGTGGCAGTGTGGGTATGTCCTCTACAAGACTGCCCCCCTTGAACTTCATGCACTTTCGACGTGCAGCGACACTTCACCTAGTGAGGACCCACCATGGACCGAAGCCGACGACATTGAATCGTGTTGGAACCAAACTAATCATGCCTGTATCAACACCCTTCTTGAGAATGGTGCTACGTGGGGGCCAGGCCCCAAAACCAGAGGCATGCCAGTCAGATTTCGTCCCAAGAAGGTCTGCCCGGGTCAAAAGCCTCATGGTGTTGCTACCACTTTGGTCCTTTCGTGGCTTTACAATGCTTTAGGTGGTCTCAGAGAGATTGAGCGGTTTCTCTCACGGAACCTCGTGCCCCAGCCCAATACTTGGATCCAACACCGAACCTTTGTCCGTGTTTGGAATCGGTTGGCGAGGCTTAGAGCACCCTGTCTTTGGCCACCGTCCCGGAGACCCAACCTGGTGGATGTCACCGTCGCCATTCAGTGGGTCCAAGATCGCATTGCCACACAGGAGATCAAACTCAAATTGCAGCGTATTAAGGCTTGGCAGGATAAAATCCAAGATTCTGCGAAGCTGGGGTCTGCTTTTTTGTTTCGCCATCTCAAAAACAAGACCCATACCGAACCTGCCAATTTAGTTGTCGATTCGCTCGGGAACGCCATTTTCGACCCGGGTTTAGCTATGCATGAGATCAATAGCCAGTGGGACCCCATTTTCAGTGCGAACTTGGGTTACCCTCATGCTCTCAAGATGTTGGAAATTGTGTGGCCCCACATTCATCATTTTCATCTTGATTACCCTGTTCCTGAGCTCTGTGCGGCAGACCTGAAAAATATAGTTAAGAGGAGAAAGAAAGAAGCCGCTCCAGGCTTAGACGGGTGGCGGACCACCGAAATGCAGGTTCTCCCAGATGCTTGTTTTGCGTGGTTTGCTGCTCTCTTTCGTAGGCTTGAAACAAATGATGAACCTTTGCCAAAGATTTTGTCCACTGCAAGGCAAATCATTTTAAACAAAAATGGCAGTTCCGAACCTTTGCAAAAGAGACTCATTACGCTTTTGCCTGTCATTCTCCTGGCATACACTGGCGCGCGTTTTGTGCATCTCAAACATTGGCAAATGGTTGTCATGCCTCACCAACTGCAGGGTGGCATCCCAAATCGCCACATGGCTGCCATCCACACTCGTTTTGCGCTCTCGCTTGACCACAATCGCAATGAAAAGTGTGACCTGATTGGGGTCAAAATCGATAAGGCTAAATGCTTTGACAGGATTATCCCCTCGTATGCTGCTGCACTTATGCTTGCCTTTGGTGTCCCCAAGCGAATTGTTGTCATGTTCGTGAAAATATACCAGGACATGTCCAAGCACCTTTCCTACAAAGCATGGGTTCAAACCCAATGCACTCATGGCCCAAACGGTGTGGCCCAGGGTTGCTCTCTGTCACTTATTGCTATTAATGTCCATATGAAGGTGTGGGTCCACCTCTTGGATGTTCTGCCCAGTGTCACTGCCCAAGCTTTTGTTGACGATGCCTATTTGTGGACGAAACTGATTAACAAACACCATCTTGCTCAAGCTATTCGCATTACCCAGATGTGGGATGAGTTGGTCGGCCAGTCCATGAATGCCTCTAAATGTGTGGTGTGGGGCTCCTCCAGCTCTGCCAGGAAAGAAGTCAAAAGTTTGTTCCCAGACATGCAATGTGCGCTCGAAATTGAGATCCTCGGTGTGCACATCCAAACGAGCAATCGCACTGCCATGCATTTCTCGGACGATAAAACTGCAAAGATTATTGCCGATGTACGTAATATTTCCTGCCTTCCCATCTCTTGCGCTCAGAAAGCAAAAACTATTGGTGCCAAAGTGATCCCTCAATGCACGTACAATGCTGCCATCAACATGATCCCGGCAAGAGCCCTTGCTCGGATTCAAGGTGAAATTGTCACCTCATTGTGGAAGAACAGACCCCACTGGCGGGCAAAATTCCTAGTTTTTGCTTTTCTTTGCAAGCCGCACAGAGTTGAGCCTATGTGTGCCAGACATTATAATTCCATTCTGGATGTTTGTAGGTACCTCCAGCTTTTTCCCTGTGAAAGGCTTAGGTTCAATGACCTCCTTAAGTCATGCCATCATAAGCATGCCATTGTTCAACGGATTCGGGAAGCCTTTGCTTTCTTTCACATAGACCTCTGCGATGATGGCATGTTGGAGTTGGCTGGCGAGCCGCTGTGCGCCTTGCATCAGCTGGGTCATCGTGATGTGCGTCCTGTCCTCCAGCAACTCGCCAGGCACGTTTGTTACAAAAAAGCTGGACTTCAGAGTCGTAAGGATATTAGGAGCCCCACAGGCATCCTTGACTTTTGGCTCTCAACTAGCTTTTTGCGTCATAAAGCAGCAAAGCCTGAAGGGGAGATTCCGGATTCTGCCTTCTTCGAAGCACAGCTGGTTGGGTGTGTCCTCACCAATGATCGCCTTGCTGCGGCCAAGAGGGTTGAACATTCCACATGTCGTGTGTGTGTTCAAATTTCAAAGAATCATTGCCTCACCTTGTCAGAGAATGCACTCAAATTCGACATGATAATCCCCCACCGCCTGTTCATGAGCTGGGTGCTAACTTTGGTATTGTTGAGCATCCTGTTTCTGTTCTTCGGCATCGCTTGCAAGTGTCGGACCCCTCGGATATCCCACTTGGTACATGGGATCCACACCGTCCCAAACAAACCTTGTGGACTGATGGGTCTGTGCAGTGGCCCACTCACTTCATGCTTTCTTGTGCAGGGTTTGCCATAGTGAATTCTCATGGTGTTGTTGTTCATTCCGGCTATGTTCAGCATTGGAATCTTTCGAGCTACACTGCTGAATTGTGGGCTGCCATTTGGGCCTTTGCCACCGCTTCAGGTCCTATCCAGATCAGAACTGATTGCAAGAGCCTTGCCAATCACCTCAATGAGTTTGTCGGTAAGGAGGACATCAGTGATGAATGGCCGCTGAAATTTTGGTGGCAATTCGTGCTAAAACTCTTCACCGCACGCCGCCAGCTGCATGTTTGTCCACTTGAATGTGTATGGATACCAGCACACACTCTCGAGGGCACGCCCGGGTACTTGCTAAAATCCGATGCAGCGGCGCAGCATGGCACAACGGTCACCGACATTGTTCACAATCGTCGCGCTGACTCTGCTGCAAATAAAGCAGCATTAAGCAACGCTGCCATCCAACCGCGGATGTATGAAACGCTTTGCTCATGTGTCAAAGAACGGCAAGAGTGGCTTACACAATTGTCCAAGATGATCGGTACAACTGCACCACCTAGAGAGCTTGAATCTGACGATGGCGAAAACGATGAAGCAGGAGATCCCGTCCAGAGGTTCCCTCTTCTTCCATGGCATGAAGAGCAACAGAACTACACGTGGCAGGCATATGGTTTGGACACCACAACTCCGCCGGTTGGTTGGCCCAGTTCGAACACCAACTGGAAAGTCTTTGCCGCCTTCCTCTGTAGCTTGAAATGGTCAACCGACCCAGGGCACAAAGTATCCTATACTGAGCTGGCTGTGATGCTTGTTCAACGCCGCCACAGGTTAGATCTTTTTGATGAAGAATTTTTCACATTTGCCAGTTTGAGCAGTACCCTCAAGAAGTGGTGCCGTTTTTTACAGAAGAAACATGGGGGTCACATGCTCCCTGGTGGTCATGATGCTCATGATCATCATGCATGGGGAAAAACCATGCCGTGCGGTGTCATCCTTGGCGGACGACCTTGGCGAGGACACAATGAACTGTCATTTTTGGTCTCTGTGGCTGAACGTGTCACTAAGGCCAATCTTTGTGCCTGGGACTTTGCTGTCCAGGATTTCTTGTGTGATTAGTTGTTGGATCCGCTTTTTGCTTGGGAGATGTCTGCACATCTCACTCTTTTCATTGGGGATTTCGCAGATCGACTTGTGGAACGCAAGCGATCATGTGCAGAGGGCAATTGACCCTTCGTGTACGCGAGAGGCAGAAGAGGTGTTACCATCCGACCGGGGAGTTTCATTCATCAAGGGTCTACGCTAGTCTGGATCCTGAGAATTAGTTGACCAAGTTCTACCGAGGAGATCTACTCTGTTTTTAATGGCAAGGAATCGCAAAGCACTCCTATAGCGCCCTGGGCCCTGACCCACGGTGGATCCCGATCTCTCCAAGTGGCGCCACTGCCCAACATGCCTTTGGCTAAGGCCACCTCATCTTATTTCTTCACCAGGGAAGGAAAACGAAGATCGGCTGCAAGAAGAGGTGCTTCCGAGTTCTTCTTTCAAGCAAACATATTGGCTGAAGAAACTCAATACACTCACGCTTCGAAGAACTACCTTGGTCCTGGTGTCTGACCTTGATTGGACCTGAAATGTGCTTCTATCGTGGCTTCCAAATTTCTGGCACCCTACTCCCATCGAATGCCAAATTCCAAGGTTCAAAGGATTCAGGTATAGAACAAACTAGGTGTTCGGTATCCAGAAACCATTTGCCACTCAAATGGCCTGTTTGTCAGGTGCTTCCACCCCAAGGGATTGTGATCCTCTCACCCAATGTAGGTTGGAACCATTGCTTTCTTGAGGGAGCGGCCAGCAAATTTCACTGACTTGGCTTGCGGGACTTGGTGCGCGCCTCAATGCCACGCAAGTCCCAACTTATTCGTCGTTTCATGAGCTTCACATATATATATATAGTGTACCATGATTGCTCGTGCTTCAGCAAATATACGTTCAAGCTTAGACATGCTCACCACGATATCCACAGTTGCCCGATATGTCTTGGCAAATCGGATCCAACATGATATATGTATACATGTCTAAAGTTTTCCATAGTTTTGCTCAATTCAGAGGTGCAGTTTCCCATGAAATCCAACATGTAGGCATCCGACACGCCTAGGCCAGGGCCTTAGCCATTCATGCAAAATGACACGGAATATCTACATATATATATATATATATGTGTAAACATATTATGTATACAATGCTTATTGAGTTCCACGTCTCGCAGGATCTGCAATGACCCTGCCCGATCCCCGATCCCCATCTCTGAGCGCGGAAAAGGCCAAGCAGCTCCGGTGCTCATCACGGTGGCCTTCTTCGGCGTCTCAGTGGCCAGCGCAGTGCCGCCCGCCAGCTCCGAGTTGTCAGCCTGATGCGGTCCCATCCTTTGAGCGTCAAATACGTTTTGAGGATCTTCTGTATAGGCGTCCTTGTTACTAGTAAGGCCCTTGCTCCTAGTAGCGATGCCAGGAGCCCCTAGTTAGTAGCGTTCTTGCTCCTAGTAGTAAGGCCCTTGCTCCTAGTAGATCTACTAGCGTTGCATCGCTTTTGCCTGTCCGTGAATTCGGTCGATGCGCCATCAGCTCTAGTCCTGGAACATGTCAAAACAAAGACGTGTAGATAAGGGCCTTTGCCACAATCTTCAAATTGGACAAGACTACCCTAGTTGTTCACTTGTTGTTGTTGGAGGCTCCTTTGCAGGAGACATGTATTGAAAAATCCATGGCAAACCACAACAACCGGGAAATGATGCGAACCCCTCTGCATGCATTGGTAATGTCAACGTACAAGCCTGTACCCTATAGATTGTCACAAATAGGCATCTAAGACTTGCCATACATATGTCTAGGTGGCTCACATGCAACCAACATATGAACAGTTCTGTGGAAAACTCCGCACTTGTCACAGCTGGGAAGTTTGGTTCGTCTTTGATTGCCTATCTCTAGGGCAATGAGTGGCATGGGAGGGTTGCTCAAACGAACAACCAGTCTGCAACAGGGCAAAGCATTGACCCCCCAAGATTTACACACCCTACAGCAGCACCAAATTGACAAATGGTTTACTCTGCTTTGATAGCAAACGCAGCAATCCAGGTCTATGCACATTTCAATGGTATTTGCAGCAAAGTCTGTTGATTCTGTAATATGACCTCGTGTGCCTGTGAGACAGAACTCTGGCAATTCTGTGGATGTGTCTGAGCACTGTCATACTCGAGTCAAAACGAGCGCTTAGATCTGAATAGGATCCTTACGCCCCTTATGGAGGCCGGGCAGTCACTTGCGCACTGGGAATTTCGGTCACTTGCGCACTTTGAGTCACTTGCGCACTTGGCATCAAAAATTTAGGTCACTTGCGCACTTACCTGCTTCCTAGCAACGGGTGGTGCCTACTCCACATGCAACTAGTGGGTGGGGGGGGGGTGGGGTGGGGGGGGGTTGCAGTTGCCAACCATACAAAGGGACTCTGAACTGCTGAAAAGATTGCCAAGTTGGACAAGGTCAACATCTTTACACACACACACACGCACACGCACGCACTCACGTTTTGATTGCCTTTCAAAGCATACTTCTGCCATACAAACTCACTTGCGCGCGCAAACTATAATGAGTGGGTTGGGGATCATGCAAAATGTTTCAGCGTGGGTGTGTTGATTGTGTAGTGAATGTGTACAACCAGGACTGGAAGGTGTTTTGACATAACAACAAGATGTCTCTCAGTGTCTTTGGCGCCAATGCTAGGTGACTCTGTTCTGGCAGAGTCATCCAAACCAAAACTGCACCACAAACGCAAGTGTTCCTAGAATGTTCATCACTCCAAAAATTTGGAAAAGTCACAGAGAACACACGTACAAACTCGGTTGTCGATATTCTACAGGATTCTATTCCGTAGTAAGCGTCGTAGTAGTAGTAGTAGCAGTAGTGGCAGTAGTAGTAGTGGCATGCACTACTAGTAGTGGCCGTACGATTGGTGGTAGTAGTAGTAGTAGTACTTATCCGATGTATGATACAGAGGCATCAGTCTTGGGTTTCCCTCATTGGTTTTCAATGTATGCTCAATGGAAGACCTCGGTCTTGGGTTTCCCTCATCGGTTTTCAATGTATGCTCAGTGTAAGACCGACCAACCTAAAGCGTTTCGTGACGACATGTTCGGACAGTGGTCAAATGTCAAGTGTACAAGCGACCATAATTTCAAGTGCACAAGCGACCCAAATTTCAAGTGTACAAGCGACAGCTCGCCCCTTATGGAACCGCGCCAGCACAAAATTGGGCCAATTGGGTGCCTTATATCATCATTATATAGATAATAGTTTTAGTTAAAACCTTGCTCTACCATAAGCCTTGCCACACACAAGGCACCTCATCATAGTGAAGAACTATCCCTGTTTACCTCATATGATACGTGTTGTTGATTAACAATGATTTAATCTAGGCTCAAAAACATCCAATAACGGCCACAAGCAACTGAAAAATATAAACATACAAACATTATTGTATACTACTTCCTCTCACACAACCAATTCCATGAAGGAATAGCAATGCGTAAGAAAATCAAGCCTGGCAATACATTAAATGTGAAGGGCGAACAAAGTTGATACACTTCAAAATGAGAGGGGCTCTACCACCCTTAGATTTAGATCAGAATAGGATCTGTTGAACAAAGTTCTTCGCACGTGCATCAGCACACAAAAGCAAAGCATCCCAATATGAACCCATTTGTCACAGGATTTTAGGAGACTTAGTCTAATCAATAGGAGCCAACGTCCTAAATTGGACCCTCCACCAAATAGAAAAGTTCTTAAACAGCACCTTGTCTCCCTGAAACACTCAAAATTTGTAATTATAGCAGGCTTCACTTTTTTTGCATTTTGTGCTGCCCATAGTATATTGTCTTCCATCACAATGCTCACTTTGCTTCAGCAACGTTCGTCCAATAATTGATTCTGAACTCATGCAATTCATTCAAAGCGCAGCAACAGCAACGAAAGCTTCCGATCATTGCAATTAACTTAGACTCACCCGTCTACAACAACACAACCCTTTGACCATCAAACTAAAGACTGTTTGTTTGAAAAGGCAATTGCTTATACGCATGTCACATGGAGCTGCTATTATAATAAGCAGTTTCTAGTCTTGTCCATATGATCCCGCGAGCCTGTGCGACAAAAGGCTGGAAACTCTGTGTCTGTGTCTGGGCACTGCTTACTCAACCAAAAATTGGTCTGCTGCATGTACAACAAAATCGATGCTTGATTATTACATCTAGGGGAGGGGGTAGCACATGCAATATATTAATCATATTATGATTAATATGTAGGTGTATACATCGATTACTAATATACACATCCCCTATTCTGATCATTTTAGGCAACTCTGCCAACTCCGACGGTGGGAAATCCAATGGGGCCTGCGTCGCCTGCGGAACTTGAAGCTGTCTCCATCTCACTACCTGCAAGGGTGGCCATTCCGTATGGTTAGTCCACTGCTTTGATATGTTTTCCTGCTGCCACTTGACTCAAAATGACACTTCTCGCTGCTTGTACTGTCAAAAGTTTCACGGTGGCTTTGAAAAGGTACAGTAACTGGCGGGTGCGAGGCACCAAGCCGAGAAGAAAACCCAAGCCTGATCCCAGGAAACACATGTTCTTGCTTTCCACCTCCAGATTGTAACAAGTGTCTTGCACATGTCCACGTAGATTTTCCGGACGCCTCGCTGCTTTTTTGCCCCGTGAAGCTGCGGAAGCCAGGTCGTGCCATCCACGCTAAGCTTGGGCAGCCGACCTCGGAGGACATGGAGGAGTTGGGCATTTCATCCGATCTGGATCCAAATGCCTGGAGTTCGACAAATAGATCTGGTCAACATCCACATCATGATTTAAAACTTTCCTGGAGCCAAAAGATGCACATTTGACAACGGTGCAAATTCGTTTGGCCAGGTTTGTGTTGATCTAGAATCTAGACACGCAACACTACTATCTACAGTATATAATATTTTAAAATGTAGACTATAATTTGGAATCTCTTCTAACTTCACTAATTACACGCATTCCGCATTCCGGTAAAACAAAAGGATTGGTGACCGGTGTTTGTGAATCATGGACATCGCTTCAGCGATGTCCTTCCAGATCGTCGGTGACTGACTTGTATCACAAGGAATCCCCCCTGCTCACCGGGTCAAGGAGTTCCAATCTCAAACAAAACAACCCCCATGTATAGAGTGGTTTCAGAGGTTCGATGGCACAAGGGCCGCCAAGGTCGGTGGTTGAAAAATGGACCCGGACATCTTGGAGTGCCAGCGCCATCGAACTTCTGAAAACACTGGGCCGCCCCGGCCTCTCACGATTGCTTCAAGAACCCCCCCTATCTGCAGCTTTAAGAGAGACCCTTTAGCTCTGTTCAAAACAATCCTTCACTCTGCAGGAAAGTCTTGTTTTTTGAAATCGCCTGTTTCGCACAAAAACTTCTGCAAAAAGAAGAAGGGACCCCTCCCTGCTCGGGCCCTGCGGATCATCCGGAGAAGCGGATCCTCATCGCCTCCGCGGATCCTCTGCGGATCCATCGAGCTGCCATCACGAAGATCACCACGGTCACGAGCAGCTTCCGGCGCCCCATCCTGGGGGTGCTGTCGACTGATCGATGGATCCGAGGACGACAGCATCACAGTGCCAATGATCACAGTGCGGCCCAGTGAGTGGGATTGACATGGACACACCAATGCCAATGGTCATTTAATTTTTGTCTAGTAGCCTTGGGGCAACGACTACAAGCTAGAATGACATTTGCGGATCAATGCCCGCTGCTGTGTCTAGTCCCGGTGGTGTCTTTTGTATCTTTCTTCTTCGGCCTTCTATGCTACACTCCAGGTCTGGTCGTTTCATACATTGCCCATGACCCCCACCATCCGCTTGTTTTACATCAACCACAGCTAGACTCCTGCAGAACACAAAACTTGAGCTCACCTGAATGCTAGGCATTGCCATCACCCCTAAGGGCCTGAAAATAATCGGATGCGCTAGGAATATTTTTGGGCATGCACGATTCGGGTCATAATGGCTAATTCAAACCACCCAAGAATATTCAAGCATCACCAATCAATTGGGATTCGGGATGGAAACATGGGACAAATGGAAAAAAACATGAAAAAACAATGGTCTCCAACCACCATACCAGCTGAGGTCTGCCAATCCGCTCCTACCAGCAAATGCCAAGCCTCGCTCTGGACATTGGCCCGCAGCCGCGCCGCTGCTGGAAGCTCTCGGACGCAGGTCAATCAAAGCGTGCGTGCGCTGAGCCAAATGGAACCAAAGAACTGGCGGTGTGAAGGATCTTGTAACACTGGACATTTTGGACCTTCCTTTGAGAACAACTCTGGTTTTGATCCGGATGCATACGGAATTCCTGGACATCTTCCCTTCAGAACTTCAGCTCCCACTCTTCTGCCGCCGGACCTCGCATGTTTCAAGCTTCCACAGGTATTGCCGCTCACAAAGAGGGGCCGCTGCAACCTCAGAGTCTGAAGGTGTGGATATCATTTCAAGTGATGACCTGTCTCACCGACCCAAAGGAATGACACAAAATCCCGTTGCTTAGTGTTGTATTAGGATCCAGTTTGCACAAAAGAATGCTATCAGCAAGTATTTGACAAGATCTGTCCCAAGTGGCTATAAAACGCCTCCGGAAACGATCCAGGTATATATATATATATATTATATAAGTATATACACATCCGTTTTCAAGATTATCTCGGCTTAAAGAATTGCCATGTTTTGCGGACCTGGCGTGGCTTCTGCATGTTGGTGGAAAAGTGTTCATGATCAATTGGAGAGGCATCCACATGCTTCCACCAACCAGTAGCTTCAACAGCACAAACAAATACAAAACAAACATCAGTGATGAAAAACAAGAAAAGCAAAGGCGATGCTTTTCCGGGATGACCGAAAAAAAGCGCCTCGAATTGCGCATGCAAAATTAAACGCCCTGAGTCCACACACCCCGCAAGGTCCTTTCCGTGTGATCCGCTTTGGCCACTAAAGTAGCGACCTGACAACGATCCGAAGATTGGGACACGGGTGTTCTATTAGGTTGGAGGCCATCGCTCTTAGGTTGGAGGCCATGAATGCTGGGACGCGTCTACTATGTCACGCTTCTACCCAAAACATCCCAAAACACCATCCAAATCTCCAATTGTTGTGGCGAGATGTGGTGCCCTTTAGGTGTCAAATCCTCATCGGGCAAAGAAAACCAGCCCAAGTTGCTTGGCCTTGAAACTCTTGGCTTGGTCTTCGCAAGTGGTGTTTGGTTGCGAAGATATCAGTACATGGGGCTTTGGGTGCCAATCCCATTCATTGGATCAGCCAGGTCCCGACATCATTTCGGTCATGGTGATTTGTCCCATCAAACTTCGACACCGTGAGGACAGCACACGAAAAACATACTGCAGTCAAATCCTCCCTGAAAAGCACAACTGAACATTGTAATTGTATTGTAGACTCTTCATCAATAAACACCCCCCATTTGGATCCATTTGGATTGAACAATCCTTCATATGGGGGTAGAGTCTACCCTAGTGCTCTTGAGCTCTTGCTCTCTTCCTCCACGCAATCATTGGGGAGAGTGGGCAAGTCGGCCCAATCCATTAGCTCACTTGGCTCACTCGAAAGCCAGGCCTTCAACTGCAAATCAGAAACGCTACAGCTAGTCCTGGGCGACAACTCCGCCAAGGCAAACTTCAAGTCGCTTGGCAGTGGAGCTTGTGCTTGAAAAGGCCTTCCTGAAGATAATTGAAACTGGAGCCTGTAACGATGCAAGAAATTGCGAGGGCACCACTGCTTGTCTTCAACATATTGCCTCTCTCGACGCCAAAGCTCTTCTGAACAGCCACCATACTTCGCATCACACACCACTGGATGTCCCATGTGTGCCATGTGCGATCGAATCTGATGGCGTCGTCCGGTGGAAATCCGGAGTGCGACCAGGCTGAATTTCTGCTCTGCCCTCCACAAATGTGCCTGCACTCGCGTCCAAGTCACTGCCGGTCTTCCAGCCAAGTCGGATTGATTGATGGTTGCGCTGGGCAAATCACTTGAGCCAAACCACAAGATATTGCCTTCGATCCGTTGACATGCTGGAGAAAACCATCCATGACACAGCACAATGTAATCTCTCTGCATGGTACCTGTATGCAACTGCAGCATCAAGTCGTAGAATGCCTGGTAGCTCTTCGCCATGGCAATCAAGCCAGAGCTAGGCAAGTCCAGTCGGTGCAAGAAGCCATGCTGATGAGAAGCGTCTTCAAAGATCGGGAAGCGTCGTGCTGGGAATTGCCTCGAGGCGAAAAGGGACAGCTTCCTCCGAGTCGGCCGACTGGGCGTCGGTCCGCGGGGGGAGGGCGCCTGATCCACCTCCCAGCCAGATGGTTTCATCAATACCATCCGGTCCGGCAAATCGAACAAGATCTGTGGATCGCACCGGACGGTCATAGCCTCTTCCACAGGCCGGACAGGGAGCACGGGCTGGAAGCCTCCTCTCTGATCAAGTGCCAGACCTACTCGTTGCAAGCTTGCAGCCGCCAAATGGCCGAACTCAGTGAAACGGACGTCTCTTCCACTGAAGGTCTCAGCCCAAACAAGACTCAAAATTGCAGTGGCTTCATTCTGCAAGCGTCGACCGTCGATTGTAGGGGCGTTCAATAAGTCTTGAAGTATCTGGCCTGCACGGTGGAGCATGACATTGCCAGTTGCTCTCGCATCACACGGGTGCCACGCGAGCATTGCAAAAGACCATGCAAGGTTTGATAGATCCCGCAACTGCAGCTCCTGAGCCCTTGCAGCTATAGTAGCATCCACCATTCCTTTGAAATTCAGGTCTCCGACGCCCAAACCTGCACATGACCAAAGTACATTTGCCAATCCTTGAGCTGAAAGTCTCGGGTCGGACACTGCTCTACCGGCCAGCACCGACACCGCCGTCGACACCACGTCTCGATGCGGTCGAACGCTCGGCGTCGACCCAAAGGCCCAAAGCAAGTTGGCCAAGTCTTGTCCAGTGCACTCCGAAAGGAGCTCCAAGGACTTCAGAAGTGACATGTGCAGAAAGGGGCTGTGATTTTCCACATGCAGTTTGGTAAATGACCAGGCCAAAAGCGCTAAATGTCGGGGTGAAATCCGTTCACATTGAGCAATTCTTCGACTGCTGATGAGGCATATCTCTTGGAGGAGAGGGCTGTGTGTCCAACGAAGGGTGGCCATTGTCCAGCCAATCCTGCAAAGATCATGCAGCGATTTATGTGCCAAAGACTTGCATGCGAGATCGGCCAGGATTTGTTCTGCACACCTCAAAGGCAGAATTGTGTCTGCCACAGTGTTCGCAGTGCCATGCACTCTGTGCATCACTTTCGCTCCAAAATGTTCATCATCCACCTCATCAATGTCTTCCCAGCCTTCCAAAGAAGCGCCTGTGCGCACTTTTGTCTTGGCGAGTGCCCACAGCAGGTTCGAAACTTGGTATGTGGAAAGGCTCCTTTGTAGGTTATGTTTGACAAGAGCTTTAACAATTTTTACTTGAAGAACTTGAAGCTCAGAAGTCCTTAGGTTGGGTCCTTTGCCACTTGCAGTGCCGCGAGAAGCCCCATATTCAGTGTTTGAGCAAGGCCAGGCTTTTGCAAAAGCCCACGCAAGATCCACCAAGGCACTTGGATTGAACTCAGCTTCAGCCAAAAGCACCGTGGCCTCCTTGTGATGCCCTAAGGCAAAGGAGATGTTGGTCATATGCTCCAGCTTCATCTCCCGTACGCATCCAGCTGCTACACTTATCTCGTCGAAACGTTTGTCTGACTGAGCTCTCGCATTTGGAGATGGTTTCCGAACAGTGAGGAGCCCTAGTGCCCGAGCCAAAGCTGCCAAACTGCCGGCATCCAATTGCCTGATGCTCCGGGAATGGGGCTTCTTCGACATTTCTCAATGAATGATGCCCTCATTGCTAAGATCTCTTGCAGTGTCATCAGTGTATCTCTCTGTCTCTTGCAGGTCTCAGGCGTCCATCTAAGCGCAAAGGACACAAATCAAACCACTAGCTACGCTACTAGGGGGGAAAATCATAACCGTGATGCTAGAAGTCCTGGCGCATTGTAAAGTAGTCAGCTACTTACACAACCCAGTCTCCAACCTTCCTCTCCAACTGAAACTTCTGGCATGCCCCGAGTAGGTCAGCCGAAACGCCGAAACGGAGATGTAAACTCTCGGGTGCTGCTCCGCTTCTGTTGAGTCTACCACCACGTCTCAAAAGGTCTACGTAGAGTCTACGTGTTTGCACCACACAGTTCACAACGCAATGAATCACCACAAAGTATGTCTGTGACATCGAGCGTGGATCACCTGCAGTTTTGCCAGTGAATCACATGTGAACTCAGCGACATGTGCCAAACAGCGGTCAATTCATATCTGAATCCACGGGGGCTGAGTAATTACTGCTGAGTGTTGCAGCATTGAAGGTTGGCAAGGAAAACCCATTAAAGAAAACTGGCTATAACTTACAGGCATAACAATCGAAACAACTAAAGAAGATCCACAAGTAGAGAGTAGAGATGACATCTCTTTTCGCATTTTGTGATTGGGATCTTAACACGGCTGCCTTTTTTCCAACAATTGGGATCTTAGCTATGACCCAAATTGGACACCCATTTTCTCGCGGGCCCTCCGCACGCACACCAAGGAAAAGGAGCGCAGTCCTTGGCACCAAAACAGCGGGTTTTTTGGCACCAAATCGTGACATTCAAAAACACGCAGATTCTGGGTCACCACATGTCACCAATCGATTGGTCCCTTTATAATAATATGGGTGTCCAATATGTTTCCGTGCTTGGCCGGCTTTCAAACGGCGCATGGTTTCCATCCTTTTTGGCAAACCCATCAAATCATGCAAACACGATGAGCGCTGGACCTGTTCAGGTCCCAATTTGCGAGGCTTCAAGGGGAATGGTGTGCACCTTGGAATTAACAACAAATGGATATAGGTCTGAGAATGGACTCAACACCCGGTCAACAAAACTGGTAGCAAATCTGCATCCGAAGGAAACATGGTGAAATCAGACCCCCCAACCCCCCCAGAGTTACGTCAAATCGGTCTGGGGAACCTCCATGCTCTTCCAGCACAAATTTGCCGGTGCCTTCCACAGCAAAGGTCGTGGCCCATTAGACTCTTAAACAATGACGGCTAGTTAGAAACTCCCATCATGTTGTTTTTGTTTTCAATGTGTTCTCTCATGTTCTCTCCGAAGGCGTTTTCACTTGGCATTCAGCATCCGAGCGGCGTTC